AATTGTCTACGCATGAGAAGAATTTTTGTTCCTGAACATCATTATTTTCTTTTAGAGCGCATAGCAATTTTTGGCAGAAGATGATATAAATTTGTGGATTTTTCTTTTCTGAAGTTGACAAATTAATTTAGAATATGTCTGAAATGCTTCTGCTGCTGTGATAGAACTAGCCCTTCAGTTTCAGAACTACATTATTAAATAACTGTAGAGTACCATATAAAAATTTCAAAAACAGTTCATTTTCTAGATTTTTAAAAAGATCAAATAATAATTTTGGGCACTCGTCACTAGATAAGAAGTATGATTTTAGCAATCAAAAATGGAAAGAATTCTTTCTGTTGAAGGGAACAAACTAAGGAAAATTTATGCTGCTATGAGATAATACTTTTTTTGTAATCTATTTCCACAAATTCACAGAACTCTTTAAGTTTCCTTACTCTTACTCTATATATGTGAAAATATTTATACATTTTTATAACAATAGCTTCAATGTCCAAGGGTAGAGAATGACATGCTGTTTGTACTGAGTTATGTACAATGTGAGCAGAACAACCAATTCCTAAAATAAATTTATCTAAATCATTTTGACCTTTTCTAAACACATTTTCATTCCCCTTTCTCTTCACGCTACCAAAATTACCGTTAATGTTATCATCAGTACATCAAACCAACGTAACTTCAAGTTTGTATTTTTTCAAGCACAGCAAAAGATACTGAGTCAAAATTTGAGCAGTTTCCCCTGACATTCATCGAAATTTAAAAGCTTAACTTGAATTCTCTCCTGCAGGTTTAAATATCTTACAATAATCAGAACAAGGTTTACTACACGTTTACAGAAATAATTTTAAGAATAATTGCTTCAGTTTTTGTTCTCTTAGATGGAAGTGTTTGGTCATATAACATTTTAGCCAGTTTAGATGTGCAGTCTGATGTTTTGAAACTGAGTTCATGTCAAGCAGGGCGGTATGAAAACGTAGCTTCATTAGCAGCATACTCCAGATCACTGTAATTGCTATTACTATCTTTGGTTTAAAAAAAATTCTGTTATGATTGATGTAGTAGCATTAACAGCACTCCTTCTATGTTTAGCCATTTTCACGTGGTTCTTCAATATCGCCCTTTCCTTTATCTGCAATAGAAAATTCTCCATTACATAGTGTGCGATAAACACGTTCATTTTTACTGCCATTACATAGTTTCAAAAATTTGTATTCTTGTTGGAGATTGACATTAAACACACATTTTCTTTTGCTCATGAGGAGACAAAAAACGAATAGCGATAAAATGATCAAAACCGTTTAGGCGAGTTACTTCACACGAAAAACAACATAAACACACTGTCCCTGTTGTATTAACAAAAGCTTAAGTAAACCAAAAGATTAAGTTAAACGTGTCGGCCAGACCGATAGCCACGCCTCCGTCAAAGTCGAAGTCAGTGCTTACTCCAAGGTCGGCTGAGAGGTATGCAGTGGTAAGAGAATTTTAAAAACGCGATATCGAACATATAAATCTAAAATTAAAAAAAAAAAAACCCTCACCAGTCATAAAATTCTCAAACCCCGTACAACAATAAAAAAACAAGGCCTGTTCGGGATAAACCAGAACGTATCGTAAGCCTAATACGTAATATTGCACCTGTTAGCTCAAGTTCATGAACCAAAGAGCTTCAAGAAATGAGGATAGCATTATCAGATATGGGACATGAGTTACAGCCGTTCAAGTACTCCTTAGAGCTGACGTGATAAGAAAACGTCTGACAAGTCAGCATAAAGTATTGTTCTGGGACTTGTAACCATCGAAACTTTACTTGGTTGGACTTTGTCAGGAAAAGTATCTGACAGAGAAATATCTTTAACCAATGCTATGCTGGTATCTTCCTTTTTAGTAAAATAAATGGATATTTCTGAAATGTGGAAATTGGATTCCTTAGGGATAAAAAATTCTTCAGAACCTGAAAGTAAAGAAGTCTTGGTATCCTCAAAAAGCTTCAGATCAATAGAAAAGTCATCAGTCGAAAGTAAGGAAAAAACATAAAAATGGAGAAAGCAAGGATGGAGGAGAGATGAATGCTTTGGTAGACAAAGGAGAGGAGTGACAGAGGAGAGGGACTGTATCATCTCAAGTTCCACCCGCTACACCTGTCTTCCTTGTATCTGAAGAGAGAACTACATCTCCTGTTACTATAGTTAATAGTGAAATACTGAGCTTTCTATCCCTTCCTGAGGAAAACTCAGCTGTGTAAAGACCTCGGAATGATATTTGCCCTAGTGAACCTACTAGTGAAACTTTTTCAGTTTTACCCACTGTAGAAAGCGAGGATAAGGAAAACATATTTGGCGATGCACAAAGCAAAATAGGTTTGAAATATGAAGAAGATAAGTGGAACCATTCAAATCCTGAAAAGAAGAAACAGTGCAACAGAGAATTTTTATTTCATTGGGAGTCTCAATTTATGTCATTATGTAATCCTAACAACCTGCCAAATATAGATGTGATAAAATACAAGGCTCATGTTCAAACATTAACTGAAGTGAATAGAGCTGTACTAGTGTCCCTTTCTGTTCGAACGTACACTGAACCACTTATGCATACGTATGCAAGAGGAGGTGTGCAAGAGGAGGTGCAGTTAATCGTCGAAGTCAGCCTTAAACAGGTGAAAAGTCAAGAAAAATTATTTCACTTTCAAGCTCTCTTGTCGCCAAATATTAAATTGCAGAAAATGCGTGGAAGCCATCTCATAAGGTGGAGAAACTTGCTGATGAGACTGCTGAAATTCAGGATCTGTATAGGAAAGTTCGTGGAATCTAGAATAAAGTGACTCCTCAGAAGTTTGAAACACTTGTTGGGCTAGTGAAAACGTTAAGTATAAATACAGAAGAAAGGCTAAAAGGAGTAATTGATTTAGTTTTTGAAAAAGCAGTTGATGAACCAAATTTCAGTGTTAATATGTGCAAATAATTGACATCAATCAAAGTGCCCTTTGGCTAGACAGAGGTAGTAGTAGTAGTAGTAGTAGTAGTAGTAACGGAGGTCGTGGGCACCATCCCCCTACCATTACGGTTAATCGGTTCTGCCCACGTCCGTCCTTATCTAGTATTTATTAATAAATAAAAGATTTTTACATTGCCATATAGTGTGCCATATAGTGCCATATAAAAAAAATAAATAAAAATAAAAATCTTAAAGTAGTACTTTAGAGTCCTTCATGAAGTGTATCTTTGTAAGTAATTCTTTACAAAATGTCGAAATTTGTCCTTAGTAAAAAACGTTTGAAACTTATTCCTTCGTTCTTCTTCAAGACTTATTCTTTCGTTCTTACAACGAAGAAACTTATTCAAGAAACTTATTCTTTCAAGAAACTTATTCTTTCGTTCTCCTTCGTTTCTTCGTTCTTCTCTTTCCTTTAATCTTCCTTTCATATAATCTTCGTTAAATCTTCCTTTCTTCTATCTTAATTTCTTTCCTCCATTATACATATATTTTCTTCCTATATATCATTTATCTTAATAAAGTGAATAAGAAATCCATCTTTATGAATTACTTGTTAACATATTCTTTCCATCTTCTACAGAAAAATTTAATATTTTCTTTTTAAAACCTTTATTTGTAATTTTATACCTTTTCCCTTTAAAATCTTTTTCCTTTCAAGCCTCCTTCTTCTGCCTTTCCTTAAACGATTATTAACGCCATAGTCCTTCATTAGCTAAATCATCTTGAAAACTACTTCTCGTTTCCTAAATCTTTAGTTAATCTTATACTATTGAGTATCTTCATCTATATTTCAATTCCTTAAACTTCTTCTACTCAGCAGCTTCTTCTTCTCTTCCTGTAACTTCCGATTTCCCTTCATTCTTCATATAAAGGACAAATATGAAATCCATCATTATGAATTATTTCTTCTTAATTTCTAACTTCCCTTTTCATTAATTTCATCTTATTCTCGTCCTCGTGGTTTCTTCATAAATAACTTGATATCTTAATCTTTATTTATTTAATAAAACATCTTCCTGTAAAAATTTCCCCTTCTTCTTTTAATGAAACATTCTTATTTAATGAAAAATGTCTTAATTACTAAATAGACAGTAGATTTTACTGGTTAGCAAATTCAAAGGTACATTTATTCTAATTGTAATGTGACATTAGTTCCTTTTCTTATTTCTTTCTATGGCTGAATCATGTAGGGCCTTCCCCTTCTTCCTTTATTGGACAGGTAAGAAAGTTCTTGTTTCTTAAGAAAAACATTCCTTCTTCATAAATTACTTGTCCTTTTACCTTTTAACTTCTTTTTAAAAAAGTTAAATAAATTTCTCTTTCTTTAGATTTACTTTTACCCTTCAATCGTATTGCTTCTTTAAAAATTTCTTCTTCTGCATAGTAAATGCATATATTAAAATTCAATGCCATTATAAATGTATGGTATTTCCCTGAATAAATAAATTTATTTATTATTATTATTTTTATTTGACATATCTTAATATCACGATTTATTACATACATTCCATATGTATATTTAGAGGTAATTTTGAAAGTAGAATCCTTGAAATGATATTTAATTTTCAGCATTTGAATAAATTATATAACTTGACATAGGTCTGTTCCTAGTCTTCCTAGTATTTACATTGTTTTCGTGATTTTTTGTACTATATATTTTTGTTTAACTAAGAATTTTTTAAACGCTTCAATATTTGTTGAAGGCATGTTTATATGAAAATCTTTGGTTAACGGACAGTTCGTGATATAGTGTTCAGGCGTTCCTGTTTGACCGCAACTGCATGTATTGGTGAGTGAAATACCAAATTTTTCGAAATAGGGTGGAAATGGTCCATGGCCTGAGACATAACAGACTAATTGAGGATTTGTGATGAGCCGTTGTACATCAACATTTGTAAAATGTAGGAAGGTTCTTCTACCATTATCACTATTGTTCCACTCATTCTGCCATTTTAAAATTGCTGTTGATTTGAAAATATTTTTCAAGTGTGAAATAGGCCATGGAATATCTACAGTAATTGCATTTCGATCTTTGCAGCCTCTTTAGCTAATTGATCTGCAGTTTCGTTTCCATGTATACCAGAATGACCTTTTATCCATGTAAGGGTTGTGTTAAGTGAAGCATTATTTTGTAAATCATTTTGTATTGCTGCAATAATTGGAGAGGTAGGTTTAGGATCTTTGAGTGCATAAAGTGTGGAGAGGCTGTCAGATTGTATAATAGTATTATATAAATGATGTTCCTGAATATAATTAATTGCATATTTTATTGCTGTTGCTTCGGCTTGAAATACGATATTGTTTTTATGAAGTTGTCTCTTCCATTGGTGAATTAAAGATTCGTTGGAAAATATTGCAAAAGCAGAACCAACATTATCCTCTATTTTAGATCCGTCTGTATAGATTTCGAAATCAGTATATGAGAGTGCATGCTTGTTATTGATTACAACTTTGATATATTGTCCTTTTTTAGATGGATGAATTTCAAGATAGTTTGGTTTTTCTTCATAAGATAGAGGTGAAAATTGTTGTTGATTAAAAATGGCTGGTTTTCTTAGAAGTTTAACTTGTTGCATAGTAGCTTCTAATTCTGTGCTAATATGAAGTGATAATAAGCCTGCCAAGATATTTATGGCATTGGATGATGTTGTGCGGTAGGCTTTAGTTATGTTCAGTGCAAATGGCCTTTGTATACTTAAAAGATGTTTTACTTTACGTCCCTGCATAGGATTTGCCCAAATGGCTGCACTATGAATTAGTATGTGACAATTTTTCTACGACTGTAGAGTAGAGAATTTTTTGAATATGGGAATTTAATCCCCACTGATGTCCTTGCATTTGACGTTGCTTTGTTGCTATGATATTGGTGCGTTTTTTGAGTTCTGTAATATGGGGAATCCAATTCATTTTTGGTCAAATGTGATCCCTAGATATTTAAGTTGATTTACTATTTTAAGCCGAATATATTGTAAACGGATGGTAGGACGACGTGATAAAGATCCATTTTTTTTAGGTATAAGGAGAACCTGAGATTTATTTTCTGCTATTTCCAGCTTAAGATCTTGGCAGAGGTTACTAAATTATTGCAAGTTTCATTGGAATTATTTTGTAAATCTCTTCTTGTGCGTCCTTTAACAATAAATGCGGCATCATCGGCATAAGCGTATACCTTAGTGTGGCATGGCCAATTAGTATTATCCCATTATTTTTTATGATTATCAGTGACGATCTGAGAGATATTTTGAATAAATTAACATATTTGATAATAATATGTTAATTTATTCAAAATATCTCTCATAAAATAGATAAATATTTTGAATAAATTAACAGGGCATTTAGCCCTTCGTAGTGCTTGACGGATGGCCGGCCACCACAAAGTATCAAAAGCATTTTTTAAGTCTATGCTAATAAAAGCTGTATGAAGGCCATTATTGCGATTAGTAAGAATATCATCTGTAATATTTGTAAGAGCATACACCGAAGATTTACCTGGTCGAAAACCATATTGTTGTTCACTAAGATACTTTATTTTGAAAAGATGATGTTTAAGTCTATTTATTAAAAGTTTTTCAAATACTTTACCTAGTGCCGACAGTAGACAGATTGGACGATAAGAGCTGGCTAGTTGAAGGTCTTTGTTTTTCTTTAGAAATAATATTACTTGTCCAATTTTGAAGGCTTTGGGAAATAGACCTGCATTTAAAAGCTTATTGAAGTAAATTTTGAAAAAATGCAGTTTTGAATTTATTAGAACCCTAATAATGTTATAGTCAATTCCATAAGGGCCGGGTGCTCGTTTTTTTAGGTAGAAAGTTGATGATATTTTTAATCTCTGTGGTGGTAATTTCAACGTCTTCATTAGATGAAGGTAAAGTCGTTGTATTTCTGACTATAGTATGTACAGGTGTGTCTTGAGTTATGTCATCTTCTAGAAAAACTGTTTCTAAAATATGGTTAATAGTAGCATCTGGAAGATTAAATCCTTGAGAATTTTTCGGTGAAAGATGTAATTTGATTGGTTTGTAAGTTGATTGGTTTTAATTTGATTGTAATTTGATTGGCTGGACAGAGGTAAATTTTCTGAATTTTCTGATCTTACTTACCAAGAGCAAGAGAGAGTTTGAGCAAGAGCTGATGAGCTTAAAAAGGAAGCCAGAATTAAAGGCCATTGAATCTGCAAATCCTAAAAAGAAGAAACAACTTCAAATGGAGTATGACGGAAGAAGAAAAGAAAACGAGATACAGGCAACTAGTCAAGATAAGGTTCATTGAAGAATTCTTCGAATTAGATATGCTTATTGAACCTATAATGCACGAATGTACTGAGAAGCTCTTAATTAACAAGATGAAGAATTACTTGAATATCTTTGTAGGCTTTTGAAAAACCATAGGCAATGAATTTGATGAGAGATTACGAAGAGCGCAGCATGATCATGTGGCACTATGAATTAGTAATGAATACTGCTATACTGAATGTGAATTAGTAATGATCGTTGACCTATATAGATGATCCGAATGAACTGGTACCACTAACACCCGGAATGTTTACTCATAGAGGCAACGATAGCGAATCTCCAGGTCTTGACAGTGTAGACAGACCTGCCTTGATAAAACTCATAATGTAAGGGCAGATGATATGTTAGAAATCTTAGACAAAGATTTAGAAATGAATATCTTTCTTTTGTAGTCCACAAGGGAGTAAGAAGAAATAATTTTTAAACGTTGGTGATGTTAAAATTGGGCATAATCATATCTGACTCATGGATTGACATCTAGGAATAATTTTTATGTCTATACTAGGAAAGGCGGTGTTTAGAGAGTAAGAACCTCCAGGGGAAAAGGATATGTCCTTTTCAAAGATTTTATCCATTAGAAGACAGAGAAAACTGATGTTGATGTCTTGTAGGCTTCTAGAAAATGTGACATATCTGTTGGAGATATTCCCAACTCTTCCGCTGAGAACATTGACACCGTTGAACTAAAGTATAGTCCAAAATCAGGAAATCCCGCTGTAAGGATCTTAAATTTTACTAACGTTTATTTTATTTTAAATCTTTATTATCACTTCTTATTTTCTACTTCCGGCCAGAATTAAAAGCTTTAACTTATTTATGCAAATTTGTCTTGCGCTCTTGCAAATGCTCGCAGCATGTACAATAAATTCCCGAGAAACTGTAATAACCGAACTGGGTAAGGATCCTGAGTTTAGAAACAGTTATGAGTATTTAAAGGATCCTGAAAATTTTAGCCACCAAGATATTGTGGCGATAAGAAATAGGGCGGCCCATTACGAACTAATAAATGGTCTATTATTTTATACAAAAACTACAAATTCCAACAACGAATTTCGACCTGTTATCCCAGCTAGTCTTAGATTAAATATCCTGCAGGAGTTACACGACAGCCCATTAGATTCTCATGCTGGTATTCGAAAAACTATCCAACGCGTACGCGAGGCAGTCTATTTTCCTGAACTGCAAAAGTTAACAAGGGCGTATGTCCAGTCCTGACCAACATGTCAAGCAGTTAATTATATTAATTTCCACCCGGCGGGGTTTCTAAATAGTATTAAATCCGAATTTCCAAATGAAATAATTGGCATCGATTTATTGGGCCCTTTCCCAAAAAGTCAGTTAAATAAAAGTCGCTATCTCCTCTCCTTGTTATGGTTGATCATTTTAGTAAGTGGACCGAAATTGTTCCCTTAAAACGAGCCTCCGCGAAATTAGTTACTGATTATATTTAAATAAATATATTTTAAAATACGGGGCGCCCCTAAAAGTTATATCGGATAATGGTCCTCAATTTGTAAGTAATATATTTGAAGACATGTGCCAAAAACTGGGCATACGTCATTTAAAAATGGTCCCGTATCGGCCGCAATCAAATATAGAGGAACGGGTCAATAGAAATATAGTGAAAATTATCCGTAGTTATGTTAAAAATTTTCATAAAAGTTGGGATAACTATGTCAATGAATTAGCTTTCGCCCTTAGGACCGCAAAACATGATACAACGGGCAAAACTCCTGCTGAGTTATTTTTAGGCAGAAAGATTATAACGCCGTTAGATAAATTATTTTATGTTCAACAAAGAGCCCCAGAATTTAAAAATGGGAGATATAAAAATTAATTAAAGAAGCAAAAAAGAACACTGAAGTAGCACAGAGAAAACAGAAACTTTATTATGATATGAAACGACGGGGAGTAACTTATAAAGTAGGAGATGAAGTGTTAAAAATTAAGCATTCACTTTCTTCAGCACCAGAAGATAAAACTGCCAAATTTTTTCCACGATTTGAAGGACCATATGTCATAGAAAAAATAACTCAGGCTGTAGTGGTGTTAAAAGCCAGGAATTTGGGAACATGCTCCGCAAACATTAGCCAGATAAAACCATTTTATAATCGTAATAAAATGGATATATTTAAAGATCTTTTGCAGGATCCGGCACGGCAGGCACAAGCTCCAGAAGTGGAACAACGACAATCACAAGGGCAAGCCATTAGGAGGCAGGAGCAATGGAAAAAAAGTTTCCCCTTTGGAAAATTGAAGGTAACAAGAAAGAGAAGCCGTTCCACCGACCAGAAAAGAGAGCGCACGACCACCCCCAGAATGAAGAAGGGAGAAGTACGACGAATGCAAAGAGAGCCAGGAGAAATGACAGCAACTATAACCCGGCTCCCAAACAGAAGATCTACCCATCGGATAGGAGTCTTCGCAGCAAATGTCGACGAATTGATGAAGGAACACTAGCTGCGGAGGCAAAGAAACAAGGAAAATTTGAACAGCCAGCAACGAGATCCAAGCAGGAACGAGAGAGAGTTGTCCCGGTTCCGCCAAAACCAGCTGAAATCAAACAGCCGAGACCACAGGCAGAGGCGGAAAAGAAGGTCTTCAAGGGTGACCGAACTGGAGGGAAAAGAAAGCTCCATAGAGGAAGGAACTGAAGGGCGAGCCCGCACAAGAGGGAGGATAAATCAAACCAAACGCTAATCTTTGCTACCTTCCAGGGACTGGGCAGTGAAAAGAATGTCCGAATATCACAAAGATAAGTAAAAGTTTTATGTTACTTTGCAAACCTTAAGTTAATCTTTCATTCTTACTTCAAGTGGCAGAATTCAAGACGTTTTACCTCATGTGAGGTCTACCTTTATCGCCAAAAAGGCGAGAAATGAGTTGTTACCTATTTTGGTATTATGTTTTTCAATTACTCGCGAGTCAAACTAAAGTTGATGTATAATAGGAATGTGTAAATACTTGAATATTGTAAAAGTTATTGTATAAAATTTTATTTTAAAGATTCTGGCAAGAAAGAAGTTTTAGTCTGAAAGACTTTTGAAATGTAGTATTTCAATGTAGAAGAATTGGCACTTGCTTGGAAAAGAATAGAAGTTAACAATGTACTACTAATGTATGTTTCAAAATGCGTAAAATTAACGGCATGTTAATATGTCCTTATATACAATGTGAACTGTTATTTTAAACGTTAAGAAATACTGTGATATGTTAAAAGTGAAAGTAATGCCAAAAATTTTAAACTTATTCGTGTGACTGTAAAAAGAGAAAATTATTGTGAATATGTGTTAAAGGTTGAATGCATGTAGTTAGGCTCTCTGACGCTACACTTCAGAGTTAGCCACTTTCAGAATAGTACCTCAGGGTTTAGAGATGAATATAAGGTGTGTTCTGAGGTCTTGTTATGTTGAATTTTAACATTTTAGTGT